GAATGGGTGAATTGCCAAACAGAAAATTTCAAATTAGATATATTACCTGTACATAATTTTATTATATCATAATTGTTATGATATATTATTATAACCTTTAGAATAATTAATATGTAGTAGATAATATCAAAGGAGTGGCAATATGAAGTTGTTAAGGATGTTTTCTGTTACACTTATCTACTGCTTACTGCCCTAATCCAGTGACACCAAATAACAAGTGCTCAGACCTTGTGCTTCTGTGAGGAGGAGCATGAATAGCTGCTCAGTCATTCGTGAATAGAGGCTCCAACCTGTGCCACAGCTCAGTTCTGTATTTAGCAGGACTGAGGTGCACACGATGGCCTCAGGCATGCCTTGCAGTGGACCTGCTAGTAGACTGAGCCTGCTCCGTCTCCAGGTGGTCTATTCTTTAGCAGGCCAGACCCTGTTGGCTTCACACAGCCAGTGCATGTCTGGGTCCCTAGAGATGCAGCACCGGTAAGACTTGTTTATGGCCTAAACCCTGCAAATACTCACCCTCTGTCACTCACTTTCTCCAAATTCTATGTCTGGGCAGTGACAAGGAAGCCAAATTCAAAGGGTGGATTAAAAAGGTTCTAAGCATGACTAAGCTAGGAAGGGGTGAGTGAGAGGAGGGTACACAGACTGAAAATAGCATCTTCTGTAGCACTGGACTCAGAAATGGGGATTTAGGAAGAGTGGAGAAAACCTGCTGGGTGTCATTCCAGGCCCCCTCCCACATACACATAAGCATGTTGTTTTATTACCAATGACATGGAAACATAAGGTGGTAAGAAGGCAGTCATTGCCCACCCCTGGCCATTCTACTCTACAAATGGAATGAGAAAAATCAAGGAGAGTCAGAAAGAAGAGAAAAATATGTAGCTCAGTGGTAGAGCACTTGCCTTGGAAGGAAGGGAGGGAGGGAGAAGGGTAAGAAGGAGGTAAGGGAAAGGAAGGAAGTAGGGAGTTAGGAAGGAAGAAAGGAAGAAGAGAAAGAAGGAGAGGAGAGAGAAGGAGGGAAGGAAGGAAGAGGGGAGAAAAGGGAGGAAAAGGAAGGAGGGAGAGAGGAAGAATGGAAAGTAGAGAAGGAAGGAGGGAAGGTAGAGGAGTGAAGAATGAAGGAGGGAAAGAAGGATGGAGGGAGAAAAGAACGGAGGGAAGAAAAAGGGAAAGGAGGGAAGTAAGGAGAAAAGAAAGGAAGGGAGAAAAGAAAGGAAGGATGGGAGAGAAGAAGAAAGGAAGGAGGGAGGGAAGGAGGTAAGGAAGGAAGGAAGAAGGAAGGAGAAAGGGAAGAAGGAAGGGAGGCAGGGAGGAAAAAAGGTCTTACTGTACCTAGCTGGGGGTGAGAAATCTGATACCATCTCCTCCCTGTCCTCCCTAGTCCAAGTATTAACTCATCGGCACAGGGTTCTTGAGGGGCAGGTGCTTTCATTTTGTTTAAAGCAGAGATTCTCAAACCTCAGCCACCAGGGAGTTCAAGTGGATCTTATGTTCTTGTTGGTTCACAGCAGTGCTGATATATATTTGGTCTGTCCTTTAACAAAAATTTATAGCTTGTTCATGCTTATATTATTACTATTATAATTGTTATTTTGATTTGGAGGCCATACCCAGTGGTGCTTCTGGCCCTGTACTCATGAATCACTCCTGGTGGGACCTGGGGACTCTATAGGGTTCTGGGGATTGAACCTGGGTAGATCTCAAGTAAGGCAAGTGCCCTATTGGCTAGACTATCTTTTTAGCCCTGAAAAGGATGCCTTCCTTGCTGGTGTTTGTTTTCCCAAATCTGATGACTCTCTTTGTAAGAAGGTGGTGAACTTGTGATACATTGTACACCGTAATCGGATCATGAGCTGGCGGGATAGAGTGAAGGCAGTTACAATCTGTGCCACCTTTGCCTTATACTATGGAGTCTTATGTTCTACAGCAGAACAAAACTTTGATAGCACTAAACTTTACTTAACCCTGACTTTTACTCTGTGTGTGTGTGTGTGTGTGTGTGTGTTGCTCAGTAGTTACTTCTGACTCTGCACTTAAGAATTACTTCTGGCGGTGCTTGGGGGACCATATGGATGCTGGAGATCAAACCTGCGTCAGCTGCATGCAAGACAAATGTCCTACCTTGCTGAACTATCACTCCAGCCCCTGAACTTAAATTCAACATAGTTGAGGTAAACCCTGCTTCAGTCCTCTAGGGCTCTCTAGAAATAAAAGGCTGTTAACTGTAACTGTAACTAAAACAAATGACATATTAGCGACCTGAGTTATTAAGGAGATCATATTTGCACAATCGCTTCAAGACATAGGGGTCTTGTGTTTGCTCCTTCGGCTTCCAGTGCCATCTCCACCTTCCCACCCCTTACCCCACCATACTCCACAGAGAACTCCAGGGGAATATAATGGTGACTTAAAGGATTAGTCAAACTCTTGTAACAGTAACTATGCCTAATATTTCTATCTAGGCATTAATAATTTGGGGTCCTGTTGTAGTCCATGGTGAGTGAAGAAGACAGGAAGGAAGAATATTTTTAGATGGCTTCAGAAATCCAGGTTTTAAAAGTTTCACTGGCCAGAGAGATAACATCGAGGGTAAGACATTTTCTTTGAATACTGCCAATCCCAATTTGATTCCTGTCACCCCACACAGTCCCCCAAACCTTATCAGGAGTGATCCCTGAATGGAGAGCCAGGAGTTGCTCTCAGCATAACAGGGTGTGGCCCCAAATCACCACACACACAAAAGGTCTTTCCAGTAAAAACTGAATTCCTCTTTGGAGTATCTAAAGAAAGGTATTATTCCCTGAACACTTATTAGTGAGGAAACTCTCATCACCAGCCATCAGATTCTTTCCTTTTTTTCTTTTTTAAAGAATCAATTGTGTATAAAATATATTGAGTACATCTGTTTCCTGTATTTCCTAATTTGTGCTTTTCCCCCTTTTTGGGTCATACCCGGAAATACTCAGGGGTTACTCCTATCTCTGCATTCAGGAATTACTCCTGGTGGTGCTCGGTGCTTGGGGGGAGGAGGCGGGGATCATGTGGGATGCCAGGGATTGAACCCAGGGTTGGCAGCATGCAAGGCAAGTGCTCTACCTGCTTCACTATCACTCTGGCCCTGTGCCCTTATTTTTGTTCTTATAAGACATAAGGAAACTATATTTATCTTCTACACGTTATGTGACCTTTCCTCCACCTGTGGCCTCCAGGAGATTCTGAGGGGATCACAGGTGAAACTGGCATTAATGAGGGCTACAGAAGGAGGCTAGGAGGTCAACTGGTAGGACAGGTGGCATTACAGGAAGGAAACAAGGTCAGAAGGGGGCCATGATTGGAAAAAAAAGTTGAGAAATAGGCATGCAAATGATTGTACTCCCCATCCCCCTCTCTTGTAGAATATATGACAATGAGTTGCCTTTCGTAATGCAAAACCAAAGGAAAAATCATCTCAAACAATGCTGTTACGACATGTAAAAGGTTTAGGGGCTGTGCACACCACCTCATGGTTTTGAACTCTGTGGTTAGAGACACTGAGAGTTGACAGATTAGTCAGGGACTTGTCAAGAGTATTAATTACAAACTTCGAAATCTTGGTCAGTGAAAGTTCATCGTAGTGCATCTTGCAAATATGATCAAAGTCTTTTCAGTACTGATTTGATGGTGCTTAACCACAGTGTGTGGAGAATGAAGTTTTTCATTAGAAATTACTGATGTCATAGAGTACATTTAAAAGGAGGATGCCTTGTTGGACTATTAAAATTCATGTTTCTCTCTGACTTCTCCCCACACCCAGTTGGGAGACAACCCCCCACCCATTGTCTTTTACACCTCGAACACCATGTTGGGCTGCCTAAAAGTTACTGTGATTTTTATCGCATTAGTCCCGCGTAATAGAGACCAGCACTTTGAGGATTTTGAGAGGGGACACACTTAGCTGTGCTCAGGGTTTCCTCTATTGGCTCTGCCCTCAGGGATCACTTCTAGTGGTGCTCAGAAGACATATACAATGCTGGGGATAGAACCAGGTTTGACCATGTGCACTGCGAACACCATAACCCTTGTACTCTCAGAAATATCCCATAGTGATATTTCTAAAACCATAAACCATGAAAGTCTGGGGTGGGGGCGGGGGATCAGGTGTGAGGAATAACTAATTTGGTGAGTGGAAGAAATTTATCCCTGGACAAATAAAGAAAAAACTAAAAAGTGTGACACTGGTTAGGGGACAGGATAGTTGCCTCTATGCTGTCCTTGCTGAGTTTTAGAAAAAGTTTGCTAATTTGAGGGAACATTTTTGGTTTGGTTTGGTTTTTAAGGACAACTTGAAAGATAAACTGGCACCTTAGTCATGGGTAATAATATCGAAATGACCCTTTTGAACTGCCCAGATGCCTGGGAGTTTTTACCACTTCTTCCAAGGGTTTTCAGAATTCCTGGAGGGCGCCGATGGCGTTGGGGTGGGTGTTAACAGCAGGCCATTTCTCCGAGCGGCCAAGGAGAAGGGACAAAGGTGGGCTAGCCAGCCACTGATACTAGCTCCAGCCATCCGCCCAGCTTGTAGCCAGGGTGGGAGAACAAGAGGCTGGGGTAAACGGGGCAGTCTCACCTGTGCTGCTGTGCTCCTGGTTCAGTTGCGTCAGCGCGCCAGAGGGTGGCAGCCCAGACACTCGAGAGGTGGACGCGAGAGGACTGGAGAGTCAGTGAGTGATCACTCAGCTCCAGCCTTCAGCTTTGTGCACGAGCGCTCGCGCATACACACACACACTCCCCCCCCCCCCCCATGAACCCCGTATTTAGCCCGAGTTGGGCATTCTTTAGGTTCAAAAGACGTGCGTGGGCTGTTCATGACCAAAGGCTTTAGGGTCCCATGAAATCCACTGCGGCCCGTTCTGCTGCGGTTGCTGCGTGCGTGCGTGCATTCGCGGAGGTGCATGAAGATGCGGGTGTTGGGTCCGACCAACCGCTGACCTATGTGCCCTTGGTATCCTGTTTTGCAGCTCCTGGATCTGTGCGACTCCGTGAAGGAAGATGCCCTGAGGGTGACCTCCGCTTTCAACATTCCTCGCATTTCCCTCCACGCGCCCATCGCGGGCATCAGGAACCCGCAGGCGACCTGGGCTTTCTACGGGGCGCCGCGGCTGCCCAGGGCCAGGGCCGCGGCGCCCTCTGGGCGGTCCCAGCTAGGAGCCAAGTTATAGCGGGCGTGGCGGGCAGGGAGCTGTGGCCTGCCCGCCCGCTGCCGCCACAAGGCTTGCTTCTGTGACACGGGTGGGCGGCTTGACACAGGCTGGCCCTAGGGGATCTGGGTCTCGGAGCAAGAGCTGGTTGGTGGGGTCCTGGACAGTCGCGCCGGGCATGGGGGTGCGGCGTTTGCCCAGCTGACCTGGCCTCGACCTCTCCGGGCTGAGGCTCGGGATCCCCCAGACCGCGCGCCGCAGCCGGGTGCCACCCGGGCTCTCGCGCTGCTAGCGGTGACTCAGATTTCTAGTGATTTTTGGGAAACCGTAGTGCTGGATGGGTGGAGTTGGGGCGGGGGGGAGGCTAAAACATATAAAATTAAACACCCCGCTGGGCAAAGTTTCAGTTCGGCAAACTACGCTTTTCCAATGAATCAGACCCTCTCGGGCTCTGCGAGGAAATGCGCGAGGAAGACGGGGAGCACCGGGACGAGACCAGAGCTTTGTGTCCGCTGCAAGGCACAGACACGGGCGTGGGAGTTCAGTCCGCGCGGAAAACATTTCTACTATATGCAGTTGTAATCAGTTCTTTAGAAGAGCACGGCTACTTAGTCCAATAAAAAGAAATTAAGCAATGAGAAGGCGCTCCGGCTTCTTGCCAAGGGCGGCGAGGCGGGCTGGGGCCATTCAGGGCCGTTCTCGTTGGTTTCTGAGCTTGGAAAAACCAAGTCCGCATCGCCTGGCCACAGATCTTAGCTCCCGGCTCCCTGTTGTGCCAACAACTCTCTCCCAGCTAAGCCGCCCTCCTCCTTCCCACTCCCCGTCTCCGGGCGGAAGCGGGAGGGTGCACTTTGCTTTGTCCACAAGGGCGCGACATCAAGAACACGAACGGAGAACGAATGCCAACCTGCCCTTCCCACGCGTCCCTTGACTCAGCAGAGTTCCGAGGGTCCAGCCCCATGCTTCGGGCGAACGCCGCGGGGCGCGCGGTCCCCCAAGCACTAGAGGCTGAGCCGAAGCCCCTGCAGTCTGGGTTGAATAAACAACCGCTTCTAGCGCCAAGCTCCTCCTGCGCCAAGATTCGAGCGCTCGGCCTGGGGCTTTCCCGACGCATTTGTTAGTATGCGCAGGGTAGCCGGAGGAGAGGAGAGGACAGGGTGCAAATGGAGTGGACTTGCCACCCTGACCTTTTGTTTCGGGCCTTGTCTGCGCCGCCCAACCCCACAGAGCGCGCGGACCACTTGCGCACACAGGGGCGTGTAGGATTAACAGTGGACCCAGAGGGCTTCCTTTTTGCTTTCTCGTGAGTGCCAGCAGCAGAGGGGTTGGCCAAGACTCAAAGTTCTTTCGCGGCTGCCACCTCCCATCCGCGGACGGAATCTCCAAATTGCAGGGAGAGATCTTCACCCCCACCCCCACCCCCTCCGCGCCAAGCCGCCGCGCGCAAACCGCTCTTCTTTCTCACCTGCTTCGAAAACCCTGGGTGCAAGCTGGCCCCGATCCTCGAGGCCTCGGCCACCTCCCCGGAGCTGCAAACTCGTCAGAGGATACTGAGCAAATCTGAGCAGATTTGAACTCCCGGCTGGGTTTCAGGCGGACAGTATCTTTCTGCGGCTGAAACATCCCAAGGGGACCTGAACAGCCGTAAAGGCGGGGTAGCTCCGCGCCGACTTGTTGCTCTACCCCGCGGCTCCCATCCTTCGCCTTTGTGGGGAACCGCTTAGACTTAGCGCGGGGCCTGAATAGGTTTCTTCAATTCCTCTCGCCCGTCCTCCCCCGCGGCGGGATGTTCCATCTCTCGACCAGCGTCCTCTTACTCCTCCAGCCAGGCTGTCTCGGTGCCTGGGGTGCGCAGGGACGCGGGGAGGTGGGCATGCAGGGCGCGCAGCGAGTAGGCAAACCAAGGTGCGGGGCCAAAGGACTACGTCGCCACGCGCGCAAAGTCGGGTGACACTGTAGGAGAATGCTGCTAACAACCGAGAGGGCTGGGGTTAAGGGTGCGCAAAGAGTGGTGGCACTGCATCTCTCACCGGCTGTGCCAACCCCGCAGCCGCCTTCACTGACCTCATCGCGCGGTTCCCGGGGAGGTTCTTCAAGGCCCTATCATTTCTCTAGGGGCTTAAGCAAGCAGAGGCTCAACTCTAAGTTGGAGGTCACAGCGTTTCTGGATCGACTCCAGCACCTATTTTTAAAATCAGCCTCCCCCCATCCCCCCGAATTCTTTCCTCTATTCGACCAGTTCTGCACACACTCGCTTCCTCCAGGCCCCGCATGCGCCTCCGCAGGCTTGCTCCCATTCCTTTTGTCGACTCACCCCAATAAGGGCTGTCTCTCACGCGAGGTTCGGCGCGGGAGTAAAAATCTAGGTGCCTCTCCGGGGTGGCCTGAGAAAGGTCTCTAGAAGGACCTCATGAGGCAAGAGCAAGAAGAGGAGCAGCCTGCAGACCCGGGTCCCGCACGGAGCCCGGCACTCTCGGAGAGTCAAGCTCTTGAGACCCTCGCTCAACTTTGGACCCGGCTGTTCTCTAGGACGAAGCTAAGTCCCCCGCGCCTGCCCAGAGCCACAGAGCAACTTCGGCAGCAGAGCCAGAGCTCAGGGGCGCCTCTGGAGGCCTTCTGCGGGCGGCAGCGGCTCCAGCTCAGAAGGGGCCCTGAGCGCCCCCTCTGTTCCTCGCGCACGCCTCGGTGGCCGCGGAATTGGGCGGGAGGAGTGGCGGGGGGTGGGGGAGGGTGGAGAGCTGGCGAGAGGCTCGCTTTGGGGTGGGGGTGGGGGCGGTGCGCAGAGTCAGCTACAGGAGACACTCCAGTAAACACGGCCTGCTGGGGCCAGGGCTGGCGGGCGGCGCGCGCAGGGAGCGCGCGGCGCCGGCACCTCCTCCAATACCTGTCGGAGCCTGCACGCGCCGGCCGCCCGGGCGCTCGGGGGCGGAGCGTGCCAACCCGCGCTCGGGGGCGGGCCTTGGCGTGGGCGGGGCCCTCCGTGATTGGGCGCGGCCACCGAGCTTCCAGCCCGAGCCGAGCTGCTTGGCCCCGCAGGTTTCACTTCGCTTGGCGCAGCCTCCAGGTCTCCGGCTAGTCTGAGTTCTTGGTGCCGCGAGGCCGCCAACACCGCAGACTCCCGGTTTTCACGAGCCTCGGGTGCATCCAGTCCCACAGCGAGCAGCATCGCCGCGGATTGCTCGGTTCGCCCCGCTCCCACCGCCACCGCCTCGGCGCCCTTCCCCTGGCCCGCGTCCCCCCAATGTCTGACTCTGACTCTCGGACTGAGAAACGCAAGGTAAATAGCCCCCTTATCCCGGGGAGAGGGCTGGGTCCGCAGGGAAGACTGGCGTTGGAGCTTGCACGACGCCTCCCGCTCGCTTTCCCGCGCACGTGCAGGCAGGAACGCTCGGATCCGTTCCGCTGGTCCCGGAGCGGGAGGACGCGATCCGTTCGGACTGGGTTTCCTTCCCCAGTCCCCCCACTCCCACCCCGAGAAATACACGTTGGGGATGGGTCGGTGCAGCGGCTTGGCCTGAGGGCGGTTTCTAGCCTGGATGCCTAGCGCAGGAATAGGGATGGGGGTGGAGGGGAAGCGCCTTAGGGAAGGCTGGCAGAGGGGAACCCGTGGGTTCTTAAGCTCGGTGCCGATTCCGCTGTACTGGGCTGCGCTCTTGGGCCGGGAAGTCACATCGCCCGCCGGCCCTTGACCCCCCCAGATCTGCAGCGGCGCGAGGGCAGCGGGTCTGGCGTCTGGACTTCTCGGGCATTCAGGCCAGTAGCGGAGAATTTGCGGAACTGTCGTGGTGATTTAAACCGATGAAACTCGGCTTTTCCCTTTACTCAGTTCAGACCAAGGTTTCGGGAGCTGCTGTATTCGCGCTGTCGGACATGTCTGAGGTCCCCGCCCGGTTGGCTGGCACCCTGTAGACGCTGCCAGCGCGAAACACCAAGAGTCTCCTGCTGCGTCTGGGAGGCTGGGACTGAGTTGCACAGCAGAATCTGTTCCGGTGGTGGGTCTGGGCTGTTCCGGCGATCCGGGGGCGGGGGGGGAGGGTGCCCAAGTGCACACCGAACCGATCGCAGTGCTGGCTAGTGATGGTGCAACGGGAGCTTGTGAGTCGGGTTTAGAGCTAGTAGTAGTGGCCGGGCGCCGAGAGTGGGCGGTGTGTGGGGGTGGGGACTGCGTTGGAATTGTCGCCCGCCGAGGCCCGGGTTGCGCGCCGATCTGCGCTCCCCGACCCCAGTGCTGGCCGCTCTGATTTGTTCGGTGTCCGCGGTGCACGGGCAGGAGAGGAGAGGAAGTTGGAAGATGAAGGGTGCAGAGCTCGGAAGGGGGTCCGCACGGACCTGGGCATACTTGGCGGCCGGCGACTTGCGCTCGGAGTCTGGGGGATGGCCCTGCGAACCCGTGCTTTGTCTCCAGGTGGCCGGCTCTCTGGCTCGGCGGGAACTGCTTTGGCGGACGCGAGGGTGCAGACGGGCACTTGGGGTGAGACGTGACGGCGGAGTCGAGTCAGCCCGGGGATCCCTGAAGCTCCCCACCGCACCCCACCCGACCCCGCCCCGTGCAACCCCCCCTGTCTCGGCTGGGCTCGCGCGGCTGCTGCGCTCGGAGGCGAGTTTGTCAACAATCGCCTCGCCTTTGGCGGCCTGACCCGTAGGCGCCGCCCCCAGCGCGGCCGGCGATTGGCTGCGGCGGGGAGCGACCACGAGCGGGCCAATTGGGAGCGCGGGCACCCGGCGCCAGCGGCGCGGGGAGGTCGGCGGTGCCGGCGGCGGCGGGCGCAGTGCGCGAGGGGAGGAGCGGGAGGAGGCGGAGGATGTTCCCGGCGGCGGCGGCGGCGGCGGTGGCGGCGGCCGGGGCAGCGCGGGCCAGAGGCAGGGCTCACGGAGCCCTCGGCTGCCCGGCGGAGCGCGGCGGCAGGCGGGCGGCCACTTGCAGCCTCTGCGCGGCGCCAGGTGCTCGGGAGGCCAGTCCCCAGCTTTGTCTCCCGCGCTGCCTTCGTGGTCACGTTCAGGGGACTCCGGGTCGGCGAAGGGCGCGGGCCGGACGCCGCGGGACCCGGGCCCGGACTCGACGCTTGGAAGGGAAGGGACGGATGTAAGTTTCGAGCCGATAGTTTGGAAAGGAGAGGGTCCTGGGGAGGTGAAGGCTCTTGTGCGTCCGTGGGGCGCCTCGCTCCGCCGAGTGACTTGTGGATTTTGCAGGAGTCTCCCGGGCCCGGCTTCGGGAACTCCCTACCCCCCGCCCCCCACCCCCCACCTTGAGTTCCCGCATTTGGAGCGGTGCAACCCGAAGAAGTGTGGTCCGGCTCCTCGGTGCGGCGCGCTGCCCCCAGCAGTAGAAGCGGGCGGTCCTGCAGGCGGGGAGCGCGTAGCCGGGCCGAGCAGCGCTCTGAGTTACAAACTCTATTGTGACGCACTTACTACGACTGACGGCCCTTGCCAAACCTTCCCCAGACTTGCTGCCCTCAGCACTTTCGGCAGAACAATGGGGCCGGAGCGGGGAACGCGGCCAGCCGCCTGCAATCGCTGCCTGTGCGCCGGCTCCCGTGCTAGGGTGCAGAATCGGATCCCAGAAAAGCAGAACCCGCGGGGAGTTTCTGCCTGCAAGTTGGTCCAAGCCAAAAGCCCATGTGGACGGGCTTTAAGAACCGAGTTGCGCGCCGCGCGTAACGCGCGCACATCCCTGTGCGAGCCTTACAGCACAGGTCCCAGGAGTAATTGACATTGTTACTGTTTTGTGCGGTCGCCAGAAGTTGAGCGCCCTCCCCCGCCGCCCCCCAAACACACACACACCCCTGCTCACGATGTCTTTGTTGTTTCAGTTGTAATTGTATGCCTTTTTGAAAGATTGTCAGGAGGAGGAAAGGAAATAATGGTTCCGAAGTGTTTGGGAGTTGGCTTAAAAGTTTTCAGGAGGTGAACCTTCGTGAATTGAGTTCGTTCCTGTCATTCTTCTTCTGCTGCTGCTGAAAGTAACTGCACTTTTTATTTTGTTTGCAGAAAAAAAGACCAAATGGCAAAGCAACCTTCCGATGTAAGTTCTGAGTGTGACAGAGAAGGGGGACAGTTGCAGCCTGCGGAGAGGCCCCCCCAGCTCAGGCCTGGGGCCCCGACCTCTCTCCAGACAGAGCCGCAAGGTAATCACGAAGGAGGCGAAGGGGACCGCTGCCTGCAAGGCAGCCCTCAGGGCCCACTGGCCCCGTCAGCCAGCCCAGGCCCTTTTGCGACCAGATCCCCGCTTTTCATCTTCGTGAGAAGATCTTCCCTGCTGTCTCGATCCTCCAGTGGGTATTTCTCTTTTGACACAGACAGGAGCCCGGCACCCATGAGTTGTGACAAGTCAACGCAAACCCCAAGCCCTCCTTGCCAGGCCTTCAACCATTATCTGAGTGCAATGGGTAAGCAATACCCGGGTAAGAGGCTCCAGGCTCAGGGCTGCTTGTTGCAGGTGGTGGGTAGCGTTTAAGCCCCCTCGCCCTTTGTCTATTATTTTACTGAGTTCTTTCATATTTGGATGAGCATAAAGGATGTATCAAATCAAATACATCAACATTTCCCTTTTCATTGACACCAAGTTCCATGGAGCTTTGAAGTCTGAGTGTCAGCCTGTTGGTCAGGTAAAGCCAGAATCCCTCCCTGCTGCCAATATTAAAAGGAATAGCCATGGCAGGTTGGCCTAACCACTAAGATTTACTTATTAATGACACTGTGCATGAAAGGGACTCGATCAGTTATAGTAGGGAGTTACTGTGGGAAAAAAAATAAAACAAATCCATCATTTTCAAAAATGACATTTAGATAAAACCAAATTTCTTTGTGCATAAAGGAGTAACATCAACATAGATGATCTTGGTTTGTTTTCTCCTCAATAGTTCTCTTTGGGCCTATTTTCTGTGCTCAAAGGATTTGGGTAAAGCACTAAAGCACTGAAATGATTAGGTTGTAAACTTTATTATTTCAGGACTTAAAAACACTTTTTTGGAATGCAACAGGAGTGGCCAGTAGAAATGGCTGGAAAATTCTGGCCCATGTCATCAGGGCCTGAGTGGGTTGAGAAACTTTGCCCTTCTGCATGATGGTAGTGCCAGTTGTGACTGAAGTGGGTGGACTTTTAGTGGTAGTTTTTTTTCCTAATCAAGATAATCCAGAAATGTGGGTTTTGAAACCAAACCATTTAACAATGCCAAAAGAATTGGCATCTAAACCCTTGATAGCTGATTTAGAAGGAATCACTTGATTCCTTTTTTTGATTTTATAATTCTGGAGATCCTTTCCCCTTCCCACTCATGGAAGTAGTTTTTGACTGGATCAGAACTCCCCAGGATTCCATTCACCCTTTGTCTATGGTAACCCAGCAATAATGAGGTAGAAGCAAGTTGTAGCATTGTCAGTGAAGATATGCAGTATACATTCTTCTAAAATGTACTGATTCTTAATTGTGCCAGATTCTAACACATAAGGTCATCAGAGTCGACACATGACTGTGGGAGCACAGTGGCAAATCTTTTAGTTGCAAATGCCCTAAGACCCTCTCTTGCTGGTGTTTACACCTGCCACTGGTGGCTCACAGTTGAATGTGGTTTGATTCACACAGATGACACATCCATGTTAAACTTCAGTGAGGTACACTCTGCAGATCTATCCTCACAGTACAGAGTTAGAATCTCAGTTCATCATTGCTTAGAAATGACAAAGACACCATTAACTTTTTGACTCCTGACAAATGCTAAGAGATAATTTCTTCGGGGAAAGAAGCTGGACTAATTGGTTTAGTTACTGCTCTTGATGCTGCTGTCAAACCTTAGAAGATTTGGATGCTTGTGTATGTTTTCTGCCCAAGAAAATACTTCCAAAGTAAATCAGTTATAGCATTACTAAATGAGTTAATAGGGATTTATAGTGTTTATTTTTTAAAACCTACTATTTTAAATGGGGCTGGAGTGATAGCATGGCGGTGGGGTGTTTGCCTTGCATGCGGCTGACTGGGGCCGACCCGGGTTCGATTCCTCCGCCCCTCTTACAGAGCCCGGCAAGCTACCAAGACTATCTCTCCCACATGGCAAAGCCTGGCAAGCTACCCATGATGTATTCGATATGCCAAACACAATAGCAACAAGTCTCACAATGGAGACGTTACTACTGGGCCTGCTCAAGCAAATTGATGAACAATTGAAGGACAGTGCTACAGTGCTACAGCAGTGCTACTCTTTTAAAGATCATCTGGATTGTGTTACAGGTTTTCCCTGCTCACCTATATATCAATGCTATAAGTAGTTTAATTCATGGAAATAGCTTCTCCTTCCCTGTTAACCAGCAATATATTTCACAAATGGTTGGGGGTTGAGGGTAGGGATTTGGATTTTGTTTGTTTGTTTTATGTAAAGTCAGACATGGATGCCTTTTTGGTGATAGTATTTAGCTGGGTAATTGTGTTTATTTGCAATGAGCTTTAGAGACGACAGTTCTAAATTGTTGACCAAAGTTATAGTTATGCCTGTGAAGTAGTGAACCTTGAAATCTAATTTTAGAGTATTAGTTGCATTCTGGTAGATTGGTTAAACGCTTAAGATTGAATATAAGGTGTTTGAAGTTAACGAACCAAGGTAAGTTTTTAGCGTTATCTTCTTGGGAGATTAATTTGGGCAGAGGATGAACTAGGGGTAGGGGAGAGGGGGAGGGAGAGAGAAAGAGAGTGAGAGATAGTGAGAGTGCACTTAGATAGGAATTTAAATAATAAAATTTACAATTGGTATAGTCTTTAAGTTTTCCTGATCAGTCTTAAAATCTTAGATCCTAAAGACCAATAAAATGCTGAGTTTATATTTTGATTTTATTCTTGTCTCTGCTTCATTTTCCTTACTCAACTCTCTCCATTAATGTCTTCAATGAAGCTTTTGACAGTTTATTGCAAAATTCGTTTTTCACAAAGAAGTCTTTATGATCAGTTTCACCCAGTGCAATATCAGTGTGAGGTTATGAAGAGGCCCTCCTTAGCCAGGGACTTGTTTATCTACAAAATAGTTTTCTGCTCAGCATCTTGGGATTGAAGACAGTTGTGTCTTGAAGTTTTGTTCTTTCTTGCCTGTGTTATACTGAGAAAGTAAATCTTCGACTGGGATGGGCAGCTCTGAGAAGCTTGTATAGAAGCATCTTCATCTAAAAACCCAAAGGTCCTCAATGTTAGTTTCAAAGAATAGTTTACTTATCCATGGCAGTTTTTTCACTTCAACCAAATTTCAATCTTTTTAGAGCCTGGAGAAATGTACTTCATGTCTTTTAAGAGTTTACTCAAAAATCAGAATGAGCTGTTCTTTTGCTGAGTTCTTTCTGCTATGTTTATGCAGTATGTGTTTTCACTGCAAGGTTCTGTCCTGTTTAATGCTTGGAAGATAGATAAATACAGTTGAAAATGAGAATTGAGTGCTCGGGTATAGGTGAAAGTTAGTCATTGGTAACTCCCACATCATTTGGCTAACAGTCTTAAGCTCTGTCCTTGGTCCTTGGCACACCAGGAATTCACCGAGTGGGGCGGGGGATAGGGTGGGGAATCCCTGTTTTTTTTTTCTTGGCAACCCTCAGTGTCTTGTATACCCTCCTCCTCTCCCAGACAGAAATTGTCTGAATCCTTTTAGTGTGTGAGTGCCCGGAGGGAGGTATGAGTGTCTACAAATCCTGAAGAGTTCCTGACTAAGAGGAGATGCCAAGTCTGCTTTGCTCTTCTGTAGAGTGATGGGGCGGGGGTGAGGGTGTCAGCATTCAGGTCCAGTGATATAGGGCTGCTTGGGGCCATCAGAGCCAACCCATGAGTATTCGGGCCAACGGGACCATGCCTGGCGGTACTGGAGACCACGTGGTGCCAGGAGATGGCATTTGGACACTCCACACACAAAGCTTATGTTCTAGCCCTTTGAGCTGTCTTCCCCACGCCTATGCAATAATTTTTTTCATTGGAAGATTCCAGATTAGTCTGGCCATAAGGAAATCACCCTGCCACCCAGTATCTTTAATTTCTTAGTTCTGGTGGTAAAGTTAGTGACAGGTAGGCTCAGCAGCAGCCTACCAGGGAAGTCATATATGGGTACGAGGGCATGCAGTGACGCTGGTTCCATCTGAAATGTGCTCTCAGTAGCAGTGAGTGCTGGGATTGAAGACTTGGTACATCCCAAAAAGGGTATAAAATAGCTCAGGCAAGTTCATGTACATTATGCTGAAGTATTCTACTTGTGTTGAATAAAAATAGATATGTTTCCTTATCATCATGAAACCCTCATAAAATGTATCACTTAACCGTTTGTAAGTGTTAGGTTCAACCAAGTGTATTCACATCATTGTGCAACCGTTTCCCAGAACGTGCTCATCTTGCAAAATGAAAACTCTCCGTGTTTAACAGCTTCCTCTAGCCCCACCCCCGCCTCGTGCCTGTCACCATGCTGCTCTCTATCAGGTTTGTGTGGTCCTAGGTACCTCATTTAGACCGCCTTTTTGTGAGGGATTTTCTCCACTTAGGGTGACATCCTCCAGGTTCACCCCAGTTGTAATCCATGTCTGAATTTCTTCTCTTCAGGCTGAAGAACATCTCGTTTCACAGATTTTTTGCCACGTTTTCTTTTCTCTGTTGCACACCCTTGGATTCTGGGTGGTTCCCAGCTGCTGTCTATTGCAGAAGATGTCATGGGAAAATGGGTTTGCATTGTTTTGCTCAGATTCTGTTTTGGGATTCTTCGGGATCTCTGCAGATGCAGGATTGCTGGGATGCATGGTGGTTCTGTTACCACATGGGAGGGAGCCCCCACTGCACTCCACAGGAATCGCACCATTCACCATTTCCATGTCTGTCTCTACCTCCTCACCCGTGTGTCATGAGGGGGTGCCTCCTTGCAGGTTTTTATTTGCATTTCCCTGGGGGTGGTTCAGGTGCAGCATCTTTTTCAGGGACCTGTTTGACCATCACATAAAATATATCATTGATTTAAAAAAAATTAAGTGTGGCTGCTGTAACAAAGCACCAGCTTAGACCTGTTGACTGGCATTGTGTTTTAACTGGGTAAGCTGGCCAGGCAGATGGAGGGACTAGGACCCGTGCCAGGCCTCTCCTGCCTCTCAGCCACCTCGTTCCTTTGGAGCTGTACTGCTTGCCCTGGTGACTGGAGAAGAGAGTGAGCAAGGAGCCTGGTCTTGGAAGCATCTCCCACCTTCAATGACCCACATGCACAGCTCCATCCTCCAGGCAGACCTCCTCAACCTCCAGGGTACTGCTTACTTTACAAAAGGAGAGGTGAGGGTGTTGGGGTTCCTTAAGGTTCTCCCTAACGCTGCTCCAGACCCTACTAATGGACTTGTCTTTTCTGAGGACCCAATCCTGTCTTTAAGTCCCAGTGTCACTTATATGGAAACCACG